TTTGCTCGCTGCGTAACCGAACCGTAACACTTGTGAGTAGTTTCCTTTATGAAATTTCAAAGCTTGTTTTGGTGTGGTTTGTACGTCAAGAGGCTTATAACCCCAGTGTTAGCCTCGTTAGGTAGGACGGTTAGTCTATGGCTCGACCCAGCCCAGCGGATTTCGAGGCACGTAACAACAAGCTCGCCAAGATAATTTCAACGATGAGGACTGTACTATCTCGGCAGAGGGTCTCTTTGTTCGGATTCCACGGGTGACCAGCGGACGATTCATTTTCATTACAACCCCAGTTGCAGAGGTAACCAAACCGATCAACCGGTTGGAGCAAGTCGGTTACATTTTAGTGAAACTGGTCGAGATGAAATCGAAACTGTTCTTTTCTGAATAAGTATTGCTTGAGAGGCGTTTAGATTTCAATTTCATTCCTCAGCTAACCTCCGCAATTTCATTTCGTAAATAGACGGTTTTGAAAATAAACGAAATATTTCATGACAAGCACCGTGTGGTTATCACTTACCAGGCCCGCAAAAATGCAGAAAAGTTGAACCACATCAGTGTAGGCCACAGAATATAGGCCACCGAAGAGGGTGTAGAGCAACGCAATGCAAGCGGAGATAATTACAGAAGTCGTGTGATCAAGCTCGACGATCACGCCAAGGGTTGCACCTGAAAGGTAAGCCAAGAGTAAAGTGATATTAGAGTTGTCTCCGTTACAAGGAGAGCACTTCTGATACCGAGAATGGTCCACAGCAAATTATGTTCTATTTGGGCGCTGTGGTTTATGCACAGCTGTCCAGCTTCCTAACTACTTATTTCAAATGAAGTAGTGCGCAACTGACGCGAGGCAATGTCGAGGTGGGGACTGCCGAAGCTCTCAGTAACTCTATGGAAATGGTGTTCTGTTAAACCTCTGTAATTAACCAAGAGGTGGAGAAAACACATGGCGTTTTGAAGCCTATCTGGCAAAGACCGTGTCCACAGTCAGAAGAACAAGTGGAGAATCCATAAAAGCGCCTCTTTCAATGGACTCATCCAGCAACTGAAGTCAATATACGCCGAAAAGCTGACAAACACTGTATGGCTATTTCACTCATATTAGAAAATATCGGCAGTGTACATCACATGCAAAATCCCTACTAGTATTTGAACAGCGAATCAGTCAGTCACGAGCAGTTGGTCAACAGTGCGATTAACTCGTCCGTAGGCTGAATTCCTTTCTACCCAGAGCATACAATAACCCTAAAAGAAGTTGGGAGACAACTCGCTGATAATAAGACCAAAGAACGATAAGAAAATAACCTCAGTTGGGTTTCTTGAAACAATGGAGACAATGGTCTTTGAATCTTGTCAGGTCAAACATAAGGCGGTCTCCTTGGGGTTACCGTGGCAGAAGGGTTCGCCCAGTTTGGTCGTACCGGCACATTAGTCAGGAATTCCAGTAAGTACTATAAGCATGTTTTTGTTTCTATTTCAAACACGAATACATATCTTGATTACCTGCAACAAACCACCTCGAATACTATAGCGCGTTTCCAGCAAAAAGCACATCTTAAGTGAATGGTGTGTCAACCCGTTTTCAGAGGCTGGCAATCGCTTCCTACCCATTTTGAGTCGTTGAAACGGACTGGCAGAATATAGCAATCAATACCTTGAGACAAGCAATCCGACCCAGACATGACTGGTTTAGTGTGCGGTATAGGGGAACCAGTCATGAATAGACATGATACATAACTCATAAGGTTGCTGAAAATTCGTCGACAGTCCACGACTGGTCTCGCCTTTCTTGGAGCTTCCCAGGTAAGCGCACTTCCCGAATTCCCGTTAACTTTATGTTCTACTTGAACCCAAATTGCACGAAATTAACGGACTGCACTCATTTGCAAATCAGTTTGGTTTTGCGGGAGGCTCACCCGGAACCCGGCTGAATCTCTCGTTTATGCTGTTTTTAAGCAACTGAGTCCATGTAAATTTCAAGGTTGTTTTGCAGAAAGCAAACAAAACGCGCTTAAATCAAATATTACCCCGAAACACATAAACTAAGGTGCAAAGCCGTTGGCTTGGATTGACCCATTATCACATCAGTTAGCGAACCGATTCGCTCCACACGATGAAAGTTATACTGTCGAGATGGTACTAGCATCTATAGATTAGAGAATGGGTGTTGAAGAAGGCTCCCGCTAGAAGCAGATTTGTACTGCATTTACACCACCTCACTTGGTTCGAAATTTTGCTCAGTATCAGGGTTTCATTTAGTCATCTCTTAGTGTATGCCCATTGTATGAAGGTCTGCAATGTGTTCTCCACAAAACAGAAACGGTTTTTGCGCTATTCTCAAAGGATATTACATGTCTATTATATCGCCTGGTGCCGAAAAAAAACTCACTGATAAAGAACACAAGCGAGTGCGAGAGCGTGAGTGCAAGTGCATGCATTCGAAAGTAAAACAGCCTCACGCTATTTTATTTGGGGGACAATGTATGACCTTGATTCAACGCTGTCTCGCGCTGTCTAACTCTGGTACAGGGCTGTCACGCGCTGCATATTGAAGGGGCGTTGTCACCTGGTCAACATCTGGTAGAGTTGAGGGTCTCGGCAGATTTCGGGCATTCAGTGGTTACTTCCAGGAATCTGACCTTCCTGATATTATTAAAACAGTGCTGAAGGAGACCTCACCAATCTAGTAACGAGAGAACAATTTCTACATATTTATGAGATCTTGCCGAGTTTCGTAGTCTCAGTTGAGAATCTCACGTATACAGGCCTCATAAATCTCATTGTGACAGCTGTGATCACATACGCACACACACGACAGAATGTTTCAGTAAGGAATACCTTTGGGCATAAGAAAAATATTCCCAAAAGCCGGCTGTACCTTAGTCAGGGGCCTTGTGGATTTACCCCCTGAACAGCTGATAGCGATCAATAATATCCGTCATCCTACGCCCACCTAAGTTGATGAATCAAAATACACAAGAAACAGCGTTTTTGAAGCTCCTTACGAAGGGCTTCGTTGGTCACGCGTGACCCTGTATTTGTGTTCTTTTCTTCTCGTTTAAAATTGCTGGACTCCTGAGGAAGCAGGGCACCTGAGTTTTCTAATCGACGAACGCTCAAATGAATTCTAAATCAACGATATCAATCTGGACTCACCCAAAGCTGACAAAATCGCAGCCGACCAGAACGTTTCGCCCAGCAGGGCAGGTATAAACAGCAGCCCACACATTCTTTCACCGTACTTGTTCTGAAACGGATCCAACATGGTCACGAAGGCTAGTGACCTCATTCGTTTGGCGAAAAAGAAGCCACCTGTGGGGAAAAACAAGTGACCAACGACAACTCAGTGTACTTAAGCCTTCAAAAGACTTAATAGAGATGGCATCTTGCCGATAGATAATGGGGAATTGGCTCAAGGTTTCCTGGATGGTAATAGTACATTTCAAATAACTTGACTTAGTGACTTCTTAACTGCGTTGCCCTCCTCTTTCTTCGATGAAAATGAGTCTGAAGCTGGTGGTGAAACATAAGTGGACGATACAACAGATTCGTTTTACTCTCCCGACTAGGAGACTTCTCCACTAGGCCTCCAGTGGCACTAAAAAGGTCGTGCTCTACTGGTGGGGCGTTGATTCGTCTGAGCTTGTTGGGGAGAATTTACTTTGCAAGGTTATAAAAGTCCAGGGGAAACAAACATGTATTTCTTGTTGCGTGGGTAGGTATTCAATATCCATCATGTGACTTTCCTCCTTATTAGTTTACTTTCAGCGTACTGTGATTTCAACTTTTATGTTTTCTGAAACCGTTCTTAAGTGAACATAGTGAATTTTTTTATTATTTTTGTATATTTTCCAACGCGCTGAATTGGAAAACCGTTTGTCGTAAGCTGTTGATCTTACGTGAAAATGTATAACTTTTCGTCCCTGTTAAGAGGGCCGGTAGCCCGTTTTAAAGTTTTGAACCTTATCTACTCCATAGCCAGGACTTCCTGGGAGTTCTTGTTTTGTCTCAAAATAACAGGCGAAAATGTCCGGAGCGTGAGAGTTGCAAAGTTGGACATCAAAAACAGAACCCCCTTAGTTACTACAGGTCTTTTCCAGATAAGCCCCGCCAAAAAATTAACCCCCGCTACCCAGAAAATATTAAAAGAAAGAGGATATAAAATTTGTGCTTTTAGTTTTTATTCACGAGAGTGAAATTGGGACATACCATTTAATAATTTGTATGAAAGGGTCCGTTTTTCGGTACCTTTGCCTCCAAACGAACTCAAACAAGTAGCTGTCCACTACAGATCGGTGTGTGCCGCATCGGCGTTTATTCTGAATCTTGTAGACGTGCCAAGGAGATTCGATGGTTTGTGAGTCAATTATCGTTTCAATTCCTTGGTATGATTTCCACATACCGGAGATGATTATTGAGCCTGGAGCGATGCAGGCCTGGATTGTGTCCATCAAAGTGGCCGCAGTTCGATCTGGCACTGCATACATGAATAGCTCTTAAGTTTTTCACGGCAGATCCCTCCGAAAATCCACTGCTGAGGAAGGACTCGCCCTGCGTGATTTTTACGGAGAGATATTAGCGTTTCATCAATCTCGACGTTTTTACCTGGGCCACCAATAACTGTTGGTGTCTGCAAAAGCCGCTAGGCGCAAACTTCGCGAAGAAAATGCTTCCAGTCAACAGCGGTCATGTAGCTAATAGATAATTCCTCTGACAGAAATTTGATGTTAGCCAAATTTTTTGGACTAGCAATAAATGAATAGGATTACTGTCCCAAACTCCATCTTAAACCGCTCCAGCCAAGTTCCCTTTCGAAGACCGATTTCTTGCCGACACTGTCAGAAACATTTGAAAGTGTCATTTGGTGACCTTGTTGCATAAACGTGGCTTTGAAAAAAGCGTATTGCCGTCTCCATGTCATAAACGAGAGTTGAAGGCGTCAGAAAGTTCATTTTACGTCCGAACAGAGAAAATTTCGGACAAAATGAGCCTAGATGCGGATAAGGAATTGTTTTCATCAAAAATAGATCAAGGTTGTGTGCGTACATTAAATTGGGGCTGGCAACGAGTGGCGGGGCTTTTCCGGAAAAGATCCGTTACTACGTCTGAAGGAGTGTGAAATGTAAGGAGAGTGTACAGTTAAATCTACCGGAAGGTTCTTTTGGTATATTTGAGTGTCCTTGTCATTAGTCCTTAGGCGAACAACAACAATAACAGTGTGTAACAAGCTTATGTTTTCAAATAGCAACCGGTATTTCAGAACAAAATGTCTGCCTCGAACCACAGGACAATCAACATGGTTACCAGGGTATGTGTGCAAATACTCACCATTTTTAGGGCCTTGGTACACTAATAGCTCAACAGAGACCGCTTTGCCGGAAAAAAGTTTCCTCGCCCACTGGAGATGGCCTATATTAGAGGGATGGCAGATCCAACTCACAGGTGACAAGGAATTTATCTCTGGTC